CTTCAACCTCCTCCCGTGGGTCTGTCTGTCTGTCGGTCTAGTTTTATTCAAACAGTAAATCATAAATGGTCGTTGTTATTCACACATAATTCTGTCTACCACATTACGAGACAAACAATGCCTCGTTCTAGTCTAAATATTACACAAATATGTCTCGACGCGGCGGAATCAGACGCTCGTTTGTTTTTTGGACTTATGGAATTTCTGGTATCACCTTAAAGATTATTTTCGTGTCTTGATGCAAAAATATACCTATGTAACTTAAATGAGTATCCTTGAAAACTGCAAATGTTCATTTACTGTGCCTTTGATTTGATCAACGTTTTGAAATAAAACCCACACTGTAATGTGTGTGTTTGTTGTGAACATAAGTGTTTCGCTAAAATATAATACAGAATTGATCAAAATTGCCCAACGGTCAAGAAAATATCGGTTTCTTCGAATTTGTTATTTCAACGAGCGCCTGATTTCTCCAATACGGTTTACCACAAATAAATAAGTGTTCAGACTCTTTCCACGCCACTTGAGCTTGAATTGCATGCACCCTCCATAGATAAATACTTTTTTTTAAAGCTGTTACCAAACAACGCCTTGAGGGGCTGTCTAACACCTTCTTTCACTTCGTCAATTAATTTATTCATTTATTGTTCCTCTATTCTCCAGAGAAAACGTTTTTGTGACCAAAAAAAACAAACTAGAAACGTTAGAATTATTTCTCGTAGCAACAGAAAATGCAGAGTAATCGATAAAGTAATTCTGGTGGCAAGCTCTTCCAAGTACAATGCAATCAATTCTGAGAGTGCAATATTTAACAAAATGTAGTGGTAGTCTGGAGCTGTGACAGTATCGCAAGGTCTGGTTGAGCGAGTCACAAGACCATAAATTATAACAACTTTGCATCTATTTAGTTGAAGTTTTACGCCACCATCGAAACAAATAGAATCATTAAAATTTTGAAAGCGAGCTGCTACAATCTTGGGCTGAGTAGGAAAGGAAATCCTAGCACCACATGAAGGTGATATAACAGAATCAGAGAGTGTGTATGAGTATATAGATAGCTGAAAAAAGAAATGGAGAAAAGGGGGGGGGGGGGGGGGGGTGGGAGAGGTGGGGAGGTGGGTGTGCTAACTGGAAAAGTTTTGAATAGTGAAAGATTTTAGAGAGTACCCAACCAGATTTACCTCGAGGCCTACCGTACGTTTGTTATTGAGCAGTATAATTCATCATCATCATCAGCAGCAGCAGCAGCAGCAGCAGCAGCAGCAGCAGCATCTTCATCGTTAACTTTTGCAGACGAGATTGTCATTTCGAAAATTATATTTCACATTTTTAGCGGATAAACAAAAAAAATAGGGGTTTCCGTCTTTAGTTCAGTTGATATTATGTTAGATTAGTTTACTTATGACTCTGATTCGAATTTCTAAAAGGTGTTCTTGAACTTGGGTTGTTTGAAGAGTTTGGTTTTCAAGGCTCTCCATCTATCGAGGATGGAATCTTTTTTCTTCTTTTTTAAAAAAATTAGAAAAATAATACATTTTCAAACCATATCTCCTTAACGAGGGTGTTTGATTGACTGCATTTATAAAAGACAGCCATTGACAATGAAAGTAGAAGTAATCAAATACAACTACATTTCAACCTTGCATAAGAGAAACACAATGAGGATATGAATATTGATGCTTCGATTATTATTCTTGGGAGATGGACAATCAATTCGGAAGTCCCTCCTCTTTAATAACCCCAAACTGTTGAAACCCAGACAGACGATGGCATACTGTATTTCGTCATCCAAAGATATAAACTCAGACAGTCTGTATCAGTTTTATCTCTGTAGCCAAACAGAGCGTGCATTAACATCATCTGTTTCTCCACGCTGTCTCGACAGTGCGCCACCCGTTAGTAAAGACCAGTGCACACTGTCAATTGGATTTATTTGATTCAGTCGGGTACCCGTAAGATTTTCCTTCATGGAGAAGAAAAACTTACCATTTTGGCCAAATACAACCGATTCGACTAACGGTCTTGAGAAACAAACAGATTTTGTTTTGCAGGCCAGGGTTGAATTTATTTCATTTCGGTCGTATTGCGCCAAAATGGTAGCTTCTGTCCCATCCCATAAAGGAAATTCTGGCTAGCCCCGACTGAATTAAATGGATCCGATTGGCAGCAGTGTGCACTGGTTATAAAGTCCGTGTATCCCCCTATTTGTGCGTTAATATCGCTCTTGGCGAAGGCAGCTTGTCTAAAAGACATGAGGGATATTATTGAGCAGGATTGGCGCCATCTCGAGGGGCACATTCTCTAAACTTGAGCTGGACTGGCGAGCGATAGCGTAGATTACTTCCAGATCTCGGTAGCCCTAGGGGGTCACGGAACGTTTTCATATCTAAAGTCTTTTTGGGTCACAGAGTCTTAGAAATGGCATCTGAATGCCTACCAAGCAGCCTGTATCCGCTATTCGTATGCGGAGCATCCCCACGAAAAAAGTATAAAATCCAAAGAGGCATGAAATCATTCATGAGTCAATTAGGCATTTTTATCTGTTTTCTGTTCAAGCTAGCAAATATGAGCTATGTCCGTTGTTTACAAAGCTGTATAAAACGACATAATTATTACACACAATGAGTGTCGAATTCATGATGTTCATGTGTAAGATATGTTTATGCCTGTGAGTTTGTGTGAAGAGAGGTAGCACTGGGGGAGACATGGACAAAGTTACAAAGACATGGATACAGAGAGAATGGGAGAGAAAGATAGAGTTTGAGAAAGTACAAGCACAGGAGAGAGAGAGAGAGAGAGAGAGAGAGAGAGAGAGAGAGAGAGAGAGAGAGAGAGAAGGGGGGGGGAGTTGGAGCTAAAAAGAACGTTATTCATACACTCGTATGCCAAAAGAGTTGGAGTGTCAAGAACTTGTTAGATAAATTCTCCACAGCACATCTCGGGCCATGTATGAGATGAATAATCGTTTCATTTTCACGAATAGCGCATCTGCATTCTAGCTCTTCTTATTTTTCGTAATGTCATATTCCATTTATTAATGTTCCGTAAACAAAAGCTTTCCCTTGGGTTTATATTTCGAACCCTTAAAAAGGATGAAAAAGAGCCAAGTTTTAATCGAGGAAATAATGCGTACTCCTAGTTTACTGTTTCGAATGTATTTCAACAGCAAACATGATGCAAGTTCTCTCGTGACATAGATGTTAAGATGTTCGCCTCTCATTCAGAGATTACGGGTTCGAATCCGGGTAGATAGGGACAAAATTCTTCTCTAAAATCGTCTCCTTTCACCTCCTTTCCTGCTCTCTAGCAATGTTCAGCCGTGTGCTTTCGTCTCCACTTTCTACCCCTACCTCCTCGCCTCCTTTTCCTCGTCCTCTGGGATCCTAGCTCTTTCTTCAGCCTTTTTACTGCTATTCCTTGGCCCCTTCTTACTGCTGTCTTTCAGCCACACCCCTGATCTTCTGGTAGGAAAGA